TTGATAATGATATTTCAAGAGGGCAACAAAAACAGATCCAAGATTTTTAATTAACTCGATGAATAAAAGACCAAAACTGAAATCTTAGTGAATTTTAACTGTTATCAAAAATCGCTCATCAAAAATACATGATAGTTAATCATTTACGAGATTGAACGTTAATTAACCAGAATCACGAAATTTTCGATCATTTGCGTCCTCCTATACCTTTCTGACAGAAAAGCAATACCGAATGACGTAAAGATCTCCAGATAAGCGTCTCGAAATCCGTAAAATCGCTCTCTGCCTATTAATCGAGAGAAACGAGCACCAAACAGCTCGTCCCCCAATTAATGGCCATATTTCCCAGTAGCGAAAACAATCAAGTCCTAAAACCGGATACACTTTTCACCGAAGCTACGTAATATTCTCCCCCTCACCTTCGTAAATAAATCAGCGGAGCCACCCACTGCCTCACGGTCTCACGGGGACAGTTTCGATTTGTCGTCGTTTTCTCCTTTGCTCTCTCCCTCCGTCCCGAAGAATGGGAAATGAAAAAAAAAAAAAAAAAAATTGTGTGCAGCTGCAGAAAAATAAGTAAGAAGCTGCTGCTGCCGGCCGAAGGATTTCGGGAGCGCATTTATAGGCTGGCGATAATGCGTTATGGGAGAACATTGCGTTCCTCCTTCTTTGTCCTCGGCATACATGTGTATATATGTATATACAGCAGAGAGGACCAAAAAGCCAAGCGCGAGAGTGAATACATATATAATATATATGTATAGAGCTACCGGTGCCATGGTGGTGGCACTGCTGCTGATACTTGTAACCATCAGCATCAGGAAGGAGAGGAGAAGAAGGCACCAATTAACCGGCAAGCCCTCGCGTCCCGAAACCCCCTCCTTTAACGAGCCGCCGTGTCCCCCGAGCGCGCGTATGTATACGTGCGCGCCTTTGACTGCTGACTCTCCTTTTTTCACCCTCCCCCTTGGCTCGCCGCCTATACCTCTTTCACATCTTCTTACTCCTCTTTTGGTTTTCGCCTCTCATCTTTGGTTCCATCGCCATCTCTCTCTCTCTCCTCCTTTCTATTTCCGAGTGTCCATTTCGAGCATACCTGTGTGTAACCCCCCCTCGTTTTATCCCCTTTCTCTTAATTATCAAATGGAGTATTCCCTCCGCCCGTCCGATGTGTGCGTGAGCACCCGTACCAATTAGCGCATACTTCAGCGCGGCGTTGCTGATGGCCAGGGAGAACGACGGAGGAATGAGGCGACTGGACCCACCCGGAGATCACCAAAAGGTGCGCGCGAAAACAAATTCAGAGAATACACGTATCGCCGTTATTATTATTATTATTACCATTATCATAATCATTGTTTCTCACGCGGCATCTATACGTTCATCTTTCACAGATGCATTGTATATATGTACACTCGTAAGGCCCATTTGGATAAATGAGCAACAAAGCGTTGTTCCGTTAAACGGCAACGGCACATCGGAGGCACGATATTACGCCTCGAAAATTACGATACTTAACGATCAGCGGGGCAAGTGCTTGCACCCACAAAATATATAACTCACGAGCGTTGTAGCGGGTACCCATATATACCTATACTCGCGTTTTGACAGCCGCGTTAGATAACAGTATGTATACGAACCTTATCACGCGCCCATCAAGTCCGGCGTGTATTTATAATAACAGCAACGAGTTAAAAGAGAGAGAGAGAGTGTGTGTGTGTGCTGTATAAATTTGCGAAAGCAGGCATCATTTTTTCCTCGTCCGGCGTGAAATCGCGAGCCGGATCGGCTTAGCGTGCATTATATTATATGTGCATGCTTACGCGGTGTGCACCGAAATTAACACCCTGTTACAATACAAAACTCGTCTTCTCTTTCCGCTGTGTGCATTATACGTGTGTGTATGTGTGTGTGCCGCCAAGGCAAACGCAAAACGGCCAAGAGGGACGAGAGGAGCCGATCTTCGCGTGCGCCCGAATGGTAACGGTACCCATATACCTGCCCGATATAAACGCGAGCGCGCCGCCGTTGCTTTACTTTTGCGGAGGAGAGCGCGCCAAAAGCGGCCGCACGAAAAATAACCCCACCCGTATTTTTTTTTTTTTTTTTTTTTTCTGCACATACTCGGACGGATTTCTTATTAAGCGTCGTTTTTTTACTGTTACATATTATATTCTTACCGATGTGAGGCCGATCGCGAGCGAGTGTACGTTATACGCACCCCTCCGCCAATCGGATAATTCAATTTCGCGAATATCGATCGCTTTATGATGCTCTCGGTTTAATCCGACCGGTCGCGGTCCTTTCCGCTCCACGAGATCCGGACCCGTGATAGATGCGCTCAAGGTATTATCGAGGAGGAGGGTGGCATCTCTTCCTCTCTTTGCTCTCCTTCGACCGTATATACTTATGGTGTACGAATATTTCGCGATATCTCGAGGAACGCTTATATATATATATGTGGGTACGATTTAATACGTTTAACGTGACCGACTTGCATTGCACTGCAAATGAGAAACGATAATGATTCGTTCCCGAGGCTTTCGCGGCAGGAATCAAGTATGCACTGACAAACGAATAATACACGCGCTCAATGAGCATTTAACCTTTATGTTTTTATCTTGATGGATGTTGGTGTACTTGGTGTCCAATGGTATTTTTGACCACGCAGGGATATGAACACTAGCTGGCATAGTCAAATTGGTTCAACTGTCGAGTTGTTGGTACATGTGTATGCGTATACGCATAAGTAAAGAGTGACAACTATGTTTTGACCATTGAAATGAGTAGGATAGATATCATATAAAAAAATGTAGTATAGGCGTATACTATTGTCATTTTTTTTTTTGTAACGTATGCTACGGTGCTTATTCTGTAGTCGATCGAGATGTAAAATTACTCGGCATTAAAAGGCTGTCAGTTGACCAAAACATGATTCGTCCGACAAAAGGTTGTGTCACACAGCCGATAAATCTAAAAGATCGTCGGCCTCGATCGACAAATCGTCAACGGCTGCGAAAGAAATGAGAAATCCGTGGCTGTCGCAATAAAATTAACAATATACCTGCTCACTCCGGCGGGAAGGCACGTAGTCGTCGCCATCAGTCGGACAACGAATTAACGGAAGAAAGATATAGAGAGAGCACATCGGAGGGAAAAGTATATAGTATAATATACTTGAGTGTAGATGAAAAGGAGAACAAGCACAGTGTATACGTATACGTAAACTGTCGATGGGGAGAGAGAAAGAGAGAGAGAGGCGACGACGAGTGGAGAGCGCGGACGAGAGATCGATAGGATCTCGGAGCAGCAAACAGCAGCATATCAGCGGTGGCAAGGGTTGCGTCCCGCAACAAGCGAGCGATACCAGGATCCACTCTATACGTCCTTCGTTCTCTCTCTCTTTCCTCCTGTTCTTGTTGTGTCCTCCGCGGGTGATCGATCGTCGGTGGCGCGCTGTAGAAGCCCGGACCGCTGCTCCTCTCTATTCCCGATCTCTCGCCGTGAGACATGACACATCTTTACCCCGAAAGAGTTACAGCCTTATCTCCATCTAACGAAAGCCATTATTTCGTCCTCGTCCATCGACGAGGATCGAGCAAGGAAGGGTGAGGAGGGGGGGAAACGATTTGAGGGGGGCTCGAATATTTCTCGCGTTACTTACGTATACATACATACACACCTACACCCGTTGTCCTCGTACTCCTCGCCCGGAAGGACTCTCGGATCGCTCTCCATCTTTATGCGCCTACACTCTACCCTCTTTCTTTCTTCCTTCGCGAATGTAACGTGGGAGAGAGATAGGGGATACTGTAAGCGCGCCATATAACAACCTTGCCGGTGGGGGAGGAAATACCCGAGACGCGAATTCCAGAGATTCAGCAATGAACTTGGCCGCGATTCTTCTCATCGGCTGTGCAGCTTTGATTCACGATGATGATGTGAATCGTTGCAAGTGATTTCATTCTTGTCTAAATTTACGCTCAACTTACGTTACATGTATACGTCTTGGATTATGTTTGGGAATAGCATAAGAGGCACTGTTATAAAATATAATTTGTTACATATATCCATAAAATATATTTCCTAATTTTTTGTTACAGTGTTTTTATGAATATAATATGTGTAGAAAACAAAAAAACAAAAAAAAAAAAAAAAAAAAACAAGAAAAAAAATCTAGAAAATACAGTAAGAGATTTTTTTTTATTTTTAGAGCACCTGTTTGAGTATCATCGGCTGGTTTCGATACAAATAGTTATTTCATCCATCTCATCTGCTAAATCGTAAGTACCCTTTGGGACCATGAATTATTATTTATTTTTCTTTCAACTATTAGCTTACTATTATAATAAGCTCTATTTGTTTCTCTAAAAATTGCGTATTATTATTATTTTATGTGATAATAGCTGTATTAATAATCATAACAAATAGGTAAAATTAACAAAAACGAGTAGAATACGTATACCCTTAACCTTGCGCTCTATCGTCAACGCTATAACCTCAGTGCAGTATAGGCGTTGATTTGATGCCAAGAATGTTTACAAAAATGCGTTGTTGAGACAAAAAAGTTTGCGCTAAACATTAATTGACTTCGTAACATTGTACTTCATAGTGTATAGGCACGAGCGCATCGTGTCTTTCCTCCCACTCGTTATGGTTATACATCTTACAAAAAATAAAAAAGTTTAATCAGAGGTCAACCACCCGTGGAACTAAAATTATTCCGTAATTGCACTCGAGCATAATTTTACCGATTTCACGTGAAGATCGGCCCTTCCTCCTTCGCCCGTCGAGCAAATATACGTGTACACTGTGCACAAAACAACCTGACAACAACAAAAACAACAACAACAACAACAACAGCAGCAGCGACGACGACGAGAAGGACGAGGATGACTACGACGACAAGAGGGTAAGAAGCAGGAAGTAACAATAGGCTAACCAGCCAAGGGGGGGAAAGAAGCGAACGAACGAGCGAGCGGACGACAGATCGTGATGACATGTCGTGCTTCGGCGGCCGAGACGAGCTGCTCTACCTGGTCGAGCTGACGGTCGAGCGTCTCAAGCTCACGGCGGACAAGTACCGCGAGGACTTTGCCGAGCTGCCGCCCCTGGTCAAGCTCAAATTCCTCGATTTCCCGGTCTTCGAGATAACACCGCGTCGCGATGCCGATGACACCGCCCACCACCCCCCTGTTCCACCTGACGAGTACGACGAGTCCGAGGGACTGATCTACGCTTGCGGCAAGTCGGTGCTCTTCGTCAGGAAGCCACGAGACCTCGTCTCGGCCATGAAGGCGCAACCCCTCAAGGTCGGCGTTTTCCGGGAGGGTGACACTTTTCCCGTTGCCGAGGCTTCGATACCACTCTCTGGCTGCCTGTGCGACCAGGTGACCATGGTCCGCAACGACCCCGAGCACAGACCCAAGCCCTACGAGCTCAAGGGTGGCTACAACATCCTCGACTCGGGCAAAGATTTCGCAGGTGCTCCCCTACGCCTCCCCCCTTTTTTTTCACTACTGTTTGGTGCATCGGCTAGAAATCACCGTGCCGTCATCTTTTTAGGTTCCATCAATATTTACCTGCGCCTCACCTTTTTCGGCTCCTACATCGTTTCGCACTACCAGATGTACGAGGACAGCTGCGTTTTTAGAAACGATTTCGACGGTGAAATGCGGATCACGAAGATCGACGGGAAGCCGGAAAACTCGGGGGAGGAAGACGAGGATGTGAAAAGGCAGTTCAAAATCACCGAGGGCACGGTGCTCGCGTCCATGAGGAGCGAAAGCGCGAGCGACAGTGTAAAATAATCGTTATCGATGGGAATTGTTTCGAATAAAAAAAAAAAAAAATAAAAAAAAAAAATGTTTCGTCAAAACGGCAATCCGATTTATTTGGCTGAAAAAATAAATTTCATGGTTTTGTTTTTATCGTTAATTGGCGTTCGCCACGCAGTATGCATATCTTCAAAGTTGATCGCCATGGAGACGAAAGTTCATAAACAAAAACAAAAATGACATGACGCTGCAGTGACAAAAGGCTTGCCAGAGAGGCGATTTGGTTCCATCGAAATTTGAAGTAACCCAAAGATGAAGTGATCGAGAAACCCTTCATCGCCCCGAAAAAAAAAAGAAAAAAAAAAAAAGAAATTACGCAAAATTCACAAGCCCACCAATCATTCCACTCAAAAAGGAGCAAAATCATCCTCGAACGAGAGTAGAGAAAAACGGGCCCCCCTAGCTTGGTGAGCACTCGAACGGAATCCCGGAAGGCCAAAATCACAAGCAGGTAGTGGAGCCAGGGTATTTTTGACAGCTCCCACGGCAACGGCGCTACATGAGCCACAATGGGCACGTCGGGCACCGAGGAGCTGCTCACGACGCCTGGTAAGCCCAGCGACGAGTACGCCGGCCGCTATCGGAGCGCGTGTTCCTCGATTGCATCTGACAAGGCGAAGACGAACAAGTCCGTCTGCCTCTGTCCTTCCGGCTGCAGCAGCCGAGGTACTGTTGCTTATCCCGTGCTCCGGGCTAACGATCCGCGGAAGGGCAGGGGCCACACGGGGATCCAGAGGGAGAGTACAGCTCTGCAGTTTATGCCCACCCATTGTGCCGTAGACACGACGACGATAGCCACTACTACAACCACCACTGCAACTACGATCGCGAAAAATGACGAGCAACAGCTGAGCAAGAGGAGGCTGAGGGGTGGCGGCGGTAACGGGGAGTTAGCCGGCGGCGCGGCCGGCCTCTTCAGCGGCGATGCCGACTTTACCTGGTACAACAGCCGCTTCGCGCTGCCCTTGGCTCGCCTCGAGGGCGGAGGTGGATCGTCAGCGGCGTGCCAGCAGCAGGCCTATCCAGCTGCCGGCTGTGGGAAACCAACCACGGTTAGCAGTCCCTCTCTACTCTATCTATCTGTCTATCCATCTGTTCTCTGCGCCTACCACCACCACCACCACTACTCCTCTTCCGTTTATCTCGGTACTTCTCTTTCTCTCTGTTTATCTGACCTCTTCTTCTTCTTCTTCTTCTTCTTTTTCGACATCGCCTCTCTTCGTGTACAGCGAGCCTCGGTGCGTTCAGGTAAACGAGATTTGTGCGCTTTTTCCCCCCCGAGACGTTTATGAAGCCATTGAGCGAGCCGAACAATGAATTTATCCTCGACCCCGCGGCCATACACTTACCCCTCGCTTCCGGGAATACTCTTGCGGACGATCTCAACGGGGACGCGATACCTATCGAAACTCCTACTCGTGCACGCCGTCCTATAAGTAGGTATAGACGTCACGTTGTCGGTGTGGCTCGTGCGGCTAATGCGACAGGCCGTGCAACGGCTTTATCCCCATGGAATCCAGGGCCGGCCTATCGGTGACGGCTTTATTACGCGAGCCAACATTTTTTTTTAGATTCGAATGTCGCGCGTCTCCGATGCTTGCACGCGCCCAACGTTTGTGCAACTATACATTTGTTTGCCGATAGCGTCTTTTCACCTTTTGGAATTTCCATACTGTCGATTTTCCTTGTGTTTTTTTTTTTTTTTTTTTTTCCGCCCATCACGTAAAGTAGATAACAATTGGCGATGATTCTTATCACAGGGCAGACAGAGGAGCGTTGGCTTTCAGAACGGCTTCGACAACAGTTTCGTGCGGCTGGACAGCATCAATCCGGAGTACTTGTCGTTGAACCGTTGTCGGTTGAGACACGTGGAAAACAAGGGAGGTGCAAAGCCCGAGTGTTCTTGCACGGGCAACGACAATCTGGAAAATATGCTGAGAAAAAAGGGCCAGCCGGTCTGCAGGAAGAAGCCTTGCATGGGCCCGGACTGTCTGATCAAGGCCTTCCAGGACGCGCAAGAGTTTGTCGATTCCATCGGGAAGGTCCCGGGCCTTGCCGGGCTGGGGATAACCGAGAGCCCGTACTTCGGTAGGTCCCAGGAGCCGAGGGAGATCAAAAAAGCCGACTCAAAGGCAGCGCCCGTCAACAAACAGCCCGAGGCCACTTCCAATCTTTGCAACGCCCAAAACGTGGACAACTTGAAGAAGGCCAATTACAGCGCGATGTCCGGTACTTTGAGCACGAGTGGGCCAAAGAGGTCGGGAGTGGTTCAGGAGGGAGTGACGAGTTTGCCGGATCCGTCGACCCACGCGTCGCTCAGATCCAAGAAGAAAGATGAAAAATCGGAAAAGCCCAAGGAAGTCGAGATCGCGTTGCCCCAGGCTGTCGAGGAAACACCTTGCGGGGAGCCAAAGTGCAAGTCGAGACCCAAGAAAGTTAACGCGGAAAAGGGGGAGTCCAAAGACAACGCGGAATCAACGCAGAAAACGTCAAACGCGTCGAGATCCGATAAAAAGAGCCACTCGAAGGGAAGGTCGCAGTCCGTTCCCGGGGAGAAATCGAAAAAGCCCATTCAGTTCGACTACTCCTACGGAAGTGCTTATCCAACTTCTGTTTACGGTCACAAAAAGTGCAGCCTTCTGAGGGCCAGAGTGCCAGCCCACATGGGATGGATGTGGAACCAGATCGATCCAGTGACGAAGCTCAAGCCACGCACGGGCTGGAGACCAGGAGCCATAAGCTTAGCCCTCAAAGGTCTACTGAAGGAGGCCAGAGAAGGTTTCTTCAAAGAAGTCCGGAGACCTATGTCGCTTCCCAGAATGGGAGGCAAGAAAGGAGGCAAGGTCCAGAAGACGACAAGCTACACGGGCGCGAAGAAGAATCTCTGCGAGGAAGCCGAGGCCGAGGAGGAGATCGAGCATCCTCCGACGCTCCACGTTCACAGGAAAGATGGAACGTATTACGTGACGATGTATCCCATTAGACAGGACGCATCGGGCTCACCTAGACTGGATGAGCCTACAAATCCGTTGCAGTTCAAAATCGTCAAGAGTAAGGACTCTATTGCTTCGAGTTCTACAGCTTCGGATATGGAGATTGAGTTTTCACCACCGGCTGCTGTGAATAGACCCAGAAAGAGGCCCAACGTGGTGCACCTTGGAACACAAGTGAAGCAACAAGAGATATTGGATTCGTTTAAGAGGCCCTCTGATTCCAAAAAGAAACATAAAGATGCGCCAGGCAAAGAAAGCGGCAAGAAAGAGAAAAAGAAATGAAATCGTAAAAATTGTAAAGCTTTTACAAAAGGTGTAAATATTGTTACCAAACAATAAAAAAGTATAATATGTAATACGTGGATCAAGAAAAATAAAAATGTTGATAGGCAAAAAATCCACCCAACGCAAGATAAAAATATCCTCGAAACTAGAGTAAGCTTATTATTCGTTTAGTTTGACTTTGCAAATATTTTTCAAAATTATATTTGATGCAAGACTTTAAATTTACATTACAACAGCTTATTTTGAAAAAAAAAACACGAAACCGCTTCAATAATTTATGACAAATATTTTCTTACAACTTTTTTGTACATGAAAACGATTTTCGTACATTTAAATAACAATTAAGATGTTCTCATTTATTCTGAGTAAGTATTGTAGAGAGCCGTTTAACACAGTACGTTACATGGTGTAAGAATAGACTATTCTTACACCATGGTACGTTAGACGTCACTTTCAAAAACTTCCCGCTGCTTGGTTGTTTATAACCTAAAAACAGCGCGAAAAACAGGCGCGTTGGCGCTCACATTTGATTATATATTAAAACTGTGAAATCGTGATATTTGCTCAATAAGACCAACTACTACAACTACTTACATCGTCTAGTTCGATGTGTTGTTTATAACATTGCGTGACGACATTCTCATGATAAGTAATATCAGATTTTCGCCAAGATCTGACATTGGCTGACAGCGTCGAGTGATATTTTCCTACACCTCGTAATCGGCAACTGCAGGAGTGTCGACCTTAAAAAATGTCAAATTTATCCTTGGAAGAACAAAACAAAAAGATCCGTGAACGTATGGAGAACCTGTCAGAAATACGTTTCGAGCCATTTCCTCAAGACTCCCCTTGGCTCCGGCCAATTCGTATGACCTTCATCCAGGATGGTAAAAAAAAGCAATGGGATCTTATGAGGGCCCACGAAAGTGTCAGTATTGTGGTTTTTAATACCGATCGCAAAAAGTTGGTGTTTGTCAGGCAATTCAGACCTGCTGCTTACTATGCATGCTTACCAGAAAAGCTGAAAGAAGTAGATCTTAAGAAGTATCCTGTTACTCTGGGCCTGACCATTGAATTGTGCGCTGGCATTGTTGACAAGGATAAGCCTCTGGTCGAGATTGCACAAGACGAATTGAGAGAAGAGTGCGGTTACGAAGCACCTCTTGAAAACTTCCAGAAGGTTATTACTTACAGGCAAGTTATAAATCAGCTTACAAATATTTTACATTAAAAAGATAGAGTGGCTTATCTCATTCAGTTTTTAATTTCAATCTAGGTTTATATCGTCTTCTGCTACAAAACAAACTCTGTTCTATGTTGAAGTTACTGATGCCATGAACATTCATTCTGGTAAGATTACTTGGATTATTCAATGATATTCTCAAGAATATTTATTAAAAGCTATCAATATTCATGGGACTGAAGTAAAGTCTTGACATATCTGGTGTCTATGTTGTTAGCTTCATATTTTATCAAAATTATCAACAAATATTTTTTCTCTAGAAGTGAAAACAGTGCCAATTCATTTTAATAATTTATTAACAATGATACTTATTGTAGGCGGAGGAGCAGAAAATGAAGGTGAACTGATTGAAATTATTGAAATGAGTATTGAAGAAGTTAAGAAATACGTTGCTTCTGAAGAAGTTCAGAGTCCTCCATGTTTTCTTAACGGTGTTTCTTGGTTTTTAGCAAATAAGAAAGATCGCTATGATACGTTGTGACTTTAAACATTTGTTTATAAATTTAAAAGTATAAAAAATTAAAATTCCAAATAATTTATCTTTAGGACAAACTTTTTTTATATACAAATACGTATGTACATTGAACAGCCTTTCTTAGCAGAATTATGTTTTCGCAGATTTGAGATCAGTTTGCGTTAATGCCTCATCCTTATCAAACTGGGAACTGACCCAGGCAAGACCCCATTTCAGATTAGTCAGCATAAATTTAAGAGCTTTAGTCCATTGTTCTTCAGAATTAAATTGGATTCTGAAAAATAATTGTTAATAGTGTTCAAATTAATTAATATAAATTATAATAGTTTTATAAATAAAACAGAGCGTTTCAGTTTACTTTTGTATATGAAAATGAGAGTATTAATATAATAAACAATTATTACATACAGATGTCTTACTTTATTGAATAAGAACTTCCTGTTGAACAATCCTCTATTCTTCCTTTTTCAATTCTGTAAGGAAGACTGAATCCACTTTTACTATTTTCCACTTCTTCCCTGAACTGTTGCAAGCAATCAAGAAAAGCAGCCATAGCTGCATCAAATTTTGTGTCCCATAAGAATTTGAAACCACCACTACCATACAAGGGTAGCTCCTTGTGCTGATCTAGCACTTCGATGTAACTATGATTACCAAATGGCACTAATTTGTATCTTTTGAATGTTAGATCCATTTTCCTTGCAAGTGCAGTCAAAAGTAAGGTTGTTTGACCCCATGCAGCATTTATTTCACTCCAATCGACTGGAGCACTTGGTAACCTTCCTAATCTAAAAGAGTTTATAGTGCCAAAATGACCAGAATGCCAAATGTGAAAAGTAGCATTGAAGACATTGGTCTTTTTCAGTCTTTCAAGTTGTGATACTGCATAGGCCAGTTGATTTTCCAAGCTACAATATTTAAAAATACATTAGTTCAAACTGTTCATGTCTAAAATGGTTATTTGTGTTTACATAAAGAGTAGATTATTGAAATATTGTAGTAACAATTTATAAACATACCTTCTACATTCATCCTCTGCCAGCATGATTTCTCTTCTGTGACGTGCATATTGTTTCCAATATCTTTCCTCTTCACACTTTAACCTTTCCTTTTCTTTCTCTTGTTCCACAATCGCTTCTTTCGTTGCTGCCTCTTCTTTTCTTAATGCCTCTAACTCAATTATCATTCTCTTTTCTTCAGCCCTAGCATCTTGTAATTCCTTTTCCAAAGCTTCTTTTTCACTGTCTTCGTTTCCAGACTGCAACTGTTCTTCTTCTAGTCTTCTTAGATAATCCCTGTATTCTGACCATTCATTTTCTGTAAGCCTTAATTGTTGATCCATGAGCATTAAAAGACTATCTGTACACTCGTCACATAGTGGATGATCACAGGAGGTGGTACTACTCAGCACATCAAACAGTGTTGCTCGAACCTAAAAATATAATGTTCATTTGACATTCATGTGAGATATGCTTGTACCAGTCATAATGGTATTTTTTTTCTTACCCTTAAATGATGACTTAGGCTCTCTGTTTCACCTGAATCACCAACCAACATGAATCCATTCGATCCACTTGTGAACTCTGTGAGACGAAATGGAGGAACCAAGTGCTCCAAGCTGCTGCTCTGAGAATCAATGTCCCCAGTACTTTGTTGTTGAATAGGTACTAATAAAAACAGAAAGCAAAATTGTCATCAAGTGAACGTATTACAAGCATGCAAAACAATTTTTAATCACTTCTGCTACAACAAAACAGATGAGCTGTCGTATACACCCACAATTTGCTCTTCAAACGTACATAGATTAGCAAACGAGCATACTACAGATCCAACAAATTTTGCTGAAAACACTGAGGACTCAAAGTAATTAAGAATCGACAGCCACTCTGTGTTCAGTTTGTACCAAGTAGAAATTTCCTATTAATCGAACGGCTTTGTATAACTTTTCGTAAAAACGAGGAAAGGAAACGAAATTTAAACAACAAATGACAGTCAATTTTTGACCTCCGTCTCGCAATAAATAAACAAAAAAACTCACGCGACAACTCGGCCAGTGTGTGCTCGCCAAGATGATTGAAGCTCGGGTCGAGCTTGAGTGGCTGGAGGCACCGCTGGCACACGAAATTCACATTAGTCTTCATGTCCATCATCGCGTCGATGTTGTTGTCGTCGCGAGTGCTATCCGTCGTGGACGACAAGACTCCCAGTGGCCCACAGCGTTAAACTATTATTTATAATGCGCATTTATGCTGCGTGTCTCGCTAATTTGTACGTATAGAATGTACACCTATCGCTTGTACAACAACGAGACAGAAATTAATAACGAGATGAAGTTTTGCGTTGTGTGTTGACTTTGCTCGATACTTATTATGAACTGCACATCTCGTTTGGCAACAGAAGAGAGAGAGAGGAGAAAAACAGGGTCAGCTGATTGTTGTTCGAGAACGTGCCGTCAGAGGCGCTAGGCGTGCCTTTATTGTTTTGTCGTTTTGTGGTGTTATTTGTTGGCGTATACCTACCTATTATACTTATGTCCGTCAAAGCCAATACTTCAAGGTGCATGAATATTTTTTTGCCCCAAAAGGTATACCTGTATTCCTCGGTTTGATAATGTATATGAGTTTTGTATTTATCCAAAAATAAGTAAAAGTAATTACTTTATGATTACAAACATTCTCAAACTATTTATTGTTCATTCTCAAAAATAAAAATTTTCATTGCAAGTAACTGTAAAATTATAATTGTAAGTACAATTTGCTTCGACAAACGTAATAATCACAACGTATCACATTTTAACAATTATGAACTCTTCTGCGTGGTAACGTAATAGGTAACAACAGCGAGGAGTGTTTGTGTGTAGGAGTGATGTAAATATGTTGTGCTTACAAAGAATCAATAATACTTAATAACTATTAATATATGATTATAATTATACTTAAACGTTACAACAGCGACACGAGAAGTGAGTGACGAATCGTCCAAGTTCTATTGCATGCTCACTTGGTACAGAAGATCACACTCGCTCGGTATATGTTAAGGCAAAGTAGAAATTAATTGGTACATAAAGTTTGGTAAAATAATTTTTGATATATCAACTTATAAGTAATAAAATAAAATATTTATTTCTTCCATGTTGTTATTTTTTTAGGTATAGGTATGAATCAACAATTTTTAATATTGATGGGTATATAATTTGCGGGTAAAATTATACTTAAATGAAATAAAGTGTTGCCATCAATTAAATTTCAAATAAACATTTTCTACGACTTTATGAGTCACAACACGTTTTTCAGGAAATGTTCTAAGCTATAATTATATGATTATACTTTGATTTACCATACCTGAAAAGTGTAGTGTATCATGTGCATGGCGTAAATTTCAGCGGGTCAAAACGCATGACTCTTTCAAGCGTAAGGTGTAGATGACGTTACCCGTAAAAAAAAGGATAAGGAGGTGCTGCTCTCTGCAAAAAATTGTTTTATACCACTTCATAACTTGCAATAATTGTACAAATTACGTTTCATTTTTAGAAACAGCTTTTTTTTAAATTCAAGTATACTTTTCTCTGTAGGTACACGTAAGTGTTGAGTACAGAAGTAAATTTTTCTTTATAAAATTAATGTAACAACCTATTTGACATTTCAGTACAAAAAACATTAAACACAATATTTAAAAGTCTTTAGAAAGTATTTTCTTTTTTATGCCATGGTAACGCCTAATTGACAAAAATGTAGTCGTCTAGTGAAGAACTTGTAAATTAAAAAAATAATAACAAAACTTTTCAACAATTAGTCTTTATTTTTCCCTAATCGAGCTACTTGCTTGATTTTATTCTAAACCCCTCAAATTTAACAAACTGTTCTTGCCCGTCCTCCGTCACCCCGTATATTTATGTACTCTCAAATGAAATAGAACAACAATGGCTGAGGAAAGAAGAAGAGAGAAGGACAGTTCGGCATTGAGAATCGTGAAAAATGTGAGACCAGCTTGGAGTATATGTCCAATGCACGACCGAATAAATTACCGCGAAATCTTGTGGACCGAAAACATCGGAAGTCCCCATAACTCGTGGTAGGCTGTCCACGCGCCCCACATTCGACCGACGGGTGATTGATACGATCCACGCCGAAGCTGCAGTGTCTCCCCTGTCCCCCATCTTTCTCTCCGTTTCTCTTCCTACACGTCTCATGCTGCTTGTCGCATTAGAAATTAGCCGCCTGCGAGATTCATGGGGCCGTTGCTTATTTTACTCCTCCTCCTCCCGTTGCCGATCTTTCAGCTTTTCCAATGTTTTCATGCCACAGCTTTTACTCGAGGATAGACGAAACTATAATTCAACACTTTTTTTTTTTTTTTTTTTTCAATTTTTTTACTGCAAATGTTTTTTATTTCATAACATGACAAATAACATTCCGATGGTCGTGGTGAATCAGTCATTATGAAAGTTGATCAAATTTTGATGGGATGAGGGTTTTCTTGATCGTCTAAGTATCTTTCGTTATCTACACGCAATTGGCCTATTTTTTTTTTTTTTTCTTCGCTTGGTTTAAATGTTGTTGCAGAGAGAATGGAATAGTATAAGAAAATTAATTTTCATGGAACCGCAGCCAAAGTTTTGCTGGCATACCATAAACAAGACAGATCGAACGAGAGAGATGGGCCAGATAAGTTCCTCGTGGTCCGATACCTCTCCGGTGGAACATTATACAAGTAGAGAAATATGTTATTTTGCCATTCACCGGCCTATACATAAAAAAATATCAGAACCATACAAGGACAGCTCTCTGATGGTGCTTTCTCTCTGAACGAGTGATACTGTCCCACAGGTGGCGCTCAGCTTCTTCGCCTTCTTTTTCCCCCCCTTTTTTTTTTTTTTTCATCGTTGAGATCACATTTGTGTACATTCATATTCTGATTCGAATGTTGTACACACATATACACACGCACACGCACGCATGGTATAGTCCTCAGGAATGCCCATCAAATGTGCTTCTGCGAATCGAGAATAGGGATACCCCGTGAAGTACGAAAAATTTGCCAAGATATAAATGAGAATCGTAAAAATGTGATGAGATGAAATAGTGCACACTTTGTTGATGTTGGCCCATAAATCTGCCTTGAAGAATTAAGAAGAATTATTTTTGCAATGGAACGACCATTCCTGGTAACGATGGTGGGTACGAGACTTTTTTTTTCTTTTTTCTACCAAGCGGGGATAAAACCATTTGTAAGAAAAACAAAAAAAAACTGAAATCAGAAATCGAGGGGTGGTACGATACGTCAGTGCGCGCGAGTCGTGTGGGCCGTTTGTTCGAGTCTGTCGGTCGGTATACACTCGGAGAAGCGTGTCGAATCGGCAGATTGGAGCGACTGTCACTCACTCTTAAAGTATCCGGCTTTTATTGTCGCTGCCGGCATCGGAACGTGGGTGGGGCGGTGTATAAAGTCTAATCGCTCGATCGTTTGAAGTCAGCGAAACGCGATCGCGAGTGTATTACAGCTCGGAGATTTACTTTCAAATTGCAATTGTTCTTGCGCGATCGGTTTCGCGCGTACGTTTGTCGCTCCAAAAAAAATATACTTGTTACGAAAGACTCGTTTGAAAGTGAATACGAGACACAAACAAAACAAAAAAAAAAATGAACCAACGGATAATCCGATGAAATTCGTTACTCAACTTTATTTTCTGTTTTTCCACGCAATCGGCAGACAACGGAACACACCGTAGTCGAATAGAAAATCATACGCGAAGGGGGCAAATGATCAAAGGTGAAGAGCACGTTGCTGCATTTCGACAATAGAGCGTCCGTCACGACAAGAGTAAACAATTATCTGAACATCAGTTTGGCTGAACGATATAACGTGCGGAGTTCTCGTCAGTCCACAAAAAGATAAAATATAAGTGTAGACATCCACATTGTGTATATTTAAATTCGCCGTTGCGCGCGTATCGCGATCGCCCGCTTGTAAAGCCGAGAAGTTAAGGAGGAGGTTGTGATAGGTGACACATGCACCTCTCGACACTGTAAATGCGTCGATCGAAAATACTATCGGTCTATGCACGCGTCACAACTAAATGGAGGATCGTTTTGCTTTTTCTGTTAAGTCAAGAGAGCCTGTCGGAGTTGCCGTCGATCTCGACGGGCGTATGTAGAAAGACCAGACGCCGCCATTAGAATATAAACGCAGCCCGCACTAGATTTAACACGCGAATAGAAGCCGAACGATTGACATCTGCTATATCGTGCTATTTCTGAATCGAACAATATACTCGCGTTGATATGCTTTTGATGAACACAACGTCGACGTTGGAATTTTGCTGTTTCTTTTTGTAGGTATAAATATTTACATCTAGAACGCACCAAACCTTATGATATTGCTCGAAAAATCAATCGCTTAATCGATTAAAAAAAAATTTTAAAAATCATTCAAATTGCTATGCGACTATATGTATAAAAAAATCATGATGCTTTGTCTTAAGTTCGAAAAAGGTGTCTTTGTTTTGTGTGTTCCCTATATTTCTTCGTTGTACGTATACGACCGAAAAACAATCTTCAAGACGTATACTGCCGAAAAAAGTATCATCTCTTTCACAAGCCATTAAATTTTCACGTTCCATTTGATTTCGTTGAGTCAAAAATTAAAAAAGAAAAAAAGAACCTATACGTAATTAAGAAAAGTGCAAAATTGGCGTTTGGACTCGAAAATAATCGCCAATAAGATCTCTGAAATCGTGAATCCACGTAGCCATACCTGCACAGCCCACGTTATTGTATATACCTTTGGATCAACGAGGACTCGGCAAAAGAACAAAAGGCAGGGACCTGCACGAAAGAGATACCCGTATACCCACCCCGATCCAACCGATTCCGAGAAGCGCACACGCGCCCGATAAGCATCTCCGGCGATCGCTTCGAAATCGGTCTCCCCTCCCCGGCTTTCTCACACTGTTTTATTTAGCCTTCCTCTTTCTCTGTATTCCGTACATTGTAGATGTAGAAAATCGGCAAATCCAGACACCGGCTGTGCACCCATGTAGCCTCTACCACTTGCACAAGCACAGGTAGGTAGGTGGTGTAGGTGTGCGGAGTTGCACATGCACGCAGCTGCAGTGCACACGAGTGAGTGACTTGAGACGCGACAGAGTGTGGGGTGTGGGCGTCGACGACGGGAGTGACGGAAGGAGGGCCCCTCGACGCAGCCAGGAGCCCAGAAAGAGCGAGCGGCGACTTGGTCACCTATATCCTTCTTCGCCTCCTCTTTTTCGCTGCACTCGCTCGCTCGCGGCGTTTCGTTAACATGTAGGTATATATAGATATGTATGCGCGAGTGAAACGCGGGCGTCACACGGGCTGCCCGAGGACGTCGCGTCCGCTTGCTCCGGCCAATCCGTCCCTCAGCGGCCATGTTTGCCCTCTCCCGTCCGGGGCGGAGCACTCGCTCGCCACTTTCCTCCGACTCGTATATACACATATACTTATGTATATTTCTATACTCACCGTCTTTTCCGTGCAGCGATCGACATCATCGTCGAGTC